TTCACGAACGTCTGATATTAATTTTTTGAAAACAGCTACATCTGCCTCGATCCTACTGAAGAAGACTGGCCGCAATACATAGGATGGAAATCGGAGGAAATGAAACATAAACACCATCAAAAATACTGCTTAAAAAAATCAACTACTAAAAATTACTAAATACTACTGGTAATACTAATGAAACGGCTCTCGGGTGCGTGATGTGGAATCCTAACATTGGCTGTATCGAAGAGCATTTTGAAACTGAGTACCTACCTATCTAAATGTGTTGCTGAATTGAAATAAACATGAACACAATTCAACAAACAAAAAAAAAAACACAAAAACTCTGCAGTTATATACTGTACATTACTTGCACTACACCTGTGACCCTTATGTTCTGTTCGAAAGTAATTTTCTAAATTAAAAGTAACTGTGCGCACCACAAATACAGAATATTTATTCCCATTTCACTGTGTGGATTATTAATTTGAAACGAAAAAAATATTCCCAAATATCTGCAAAATATTCCCCAAAAAATTCTTCCGAAAACGTAAAAACAATACATTTAAACCACAACACTCATCGTTAAATGATGCAATAGATCCATTATTTATTCATAACAATAACAACGAACGTACAAAACAACAACAACAACCATAACAATATTTGTAACATTTGTAGCAACAAAACAATATCAGTTAACTTACCATTCATAATTTCTAATCAATTGTTTACACACTTTTCTTTAAACGTTTCTGATGAGTCTTCTTCGGTTCCGTTCCTGATTTTCGTTTCTTCACTTTTTCTGAACCACCATCGCTGCGCTGTCGTGGAATGCTTCCTTTCAAATTTCCATTACCTCTCGAATTATTCAACGAATTTGACGCTTCAGATACGGATTCGGATTTCTTCAGAAACCTTTTCTTCACTGCACCAATATTCTTCCGCTTCGGCGGTCGTCTCAATAAATCTTTTCGGTCATTCCTGAAAAGACTTTCGATCAACCGATCGATTCAAATCAAACGATCACATCCATCTCCAGCTCTATGATATAATGCTTGACCTATTGCAAAGAACGTTCGATGGTAGTTTAACTCTGTTCAAAAATTTGAATTAAAGCCGACCTGCTCAATTTCTTCATTCGCAAGGTGTATTCAGGAACCGCAAAACCAGCTTGGCTGATAACTGTGGCTATTGGTCGAACTACATCTAGATCTTTCTCGGTAAAATACGTTATAGAACGGCCACGACGACCCGCACGTCCTGTTCGACCTGATCGTATCAATAAGATTCATGATTAAACTCATGTCTTGAGCAGAGGCGAATATGTGAGGGAATGCAACAATTTACGACAATCAAATACCGCAAAATACATCTTCGAATCAGGCGACTAAATGTGATACAAACAGTTATATTTACTATTAGTCAAAATTATCAATATAAGATCATATGAATCAATAGATCGAAAATTCTCATATGCGTTTCACGATCAATCCAGCGAGTATTCGACATGATAAGGGCAGATATGATGCGATGAAACAATTCTCAACTGAAACAACGAACTAACCAATTCGGTGAATGTAACTCACAACCGATGTTGGCAAATCGAAATTAATCACCAAGTTCACTCCTTTCAAATCCAGTCCACGACCAATCAGTTCGGTACATACCAACACCCAAATAGAACCATCACGGAATTTCGTTAATGCAGCATCACGCTGTGAATATGATTTGGTTGAGTGTATCAAGCAATGAGCACGAAAAATTAATTGAGAAGACGATATTACTGAAAAGATGATGACTAATGCATTCTAAACACACCTCCTTCTCACTT